AAAAAAAGTTGGATCTTAATTTTTTTTCTTCCTTTTATTATCTTAATTCCTTTACATATGTAGTTCAAATTGATATTACTCTAATATAACACACAACAGAATTTGCGGAGGAACATTTTGCTTGATTTTCTTTTTGAGACCCCTTGTTAATCTCTGCTTTACTTTATGCTAGTAATCAAAATTTCAAGCAATGTTTTCACAGGAGTACTTGTAAGAGCTTTAGGGTCTGGTTGGGCTGAGTTTTCAGAAGAAATTGGTTTGTGGATACCACTCCAAATCATTCATGAAGAGCATGATGACAAGCCTGAGGGTGTGGATGACCTCGGTAATTAATTTGTCCTTGATTTCTTTGCTCATCAACACCCACCACCCCCCACTTCTCCCTCCTATCAAAGAAAGAATCAAAGAGAAAATTTTCAAAGTAGGGAAAAAGAAATTCAAATCTCTACTTCCGTGATCAATGGCTTCTAAATTTAGCCAGTGAAGGATTGTGGTTTCTATTTCCTACTTGAGCCTTGCTTGATTGATGAAGGATTTTACTGTATTATTTGTTTTGATTAATTTTCCAATGTAATTCTAGTTAACTGAATGCAATTTACTTTGCAGACCGTGAAATTTTGCCTGGACGGCAACTTCCACCCGAATGTCATGCTGAACTCCATACAGATTATGATGGCGCTGCTGTCAAATGGGGTCTTACGAACCCGAAAGAATCGGCATATGATTGTTGTATGGCTTGTTTAGATCAAGCTAAAATGGCCAAGCCAAATGAGAAGAAATGCAACATATGGGTCTATTGTCCATCTGAGACGGGTTGCTATTCACCAGATATTTATGAACACAAAAACCAGGAGTGCTGGCTTAAATATGTAAGTTTTAGGCCCTTTGTTATTATGTTCTAACCTTTTGTATGTTGTTTATTTCTTTAAGTACCTTCTTTCAGAAAATTGTGCGAACTAAGTTTGTTCTTCATTTCATTTTCTTGTTTTTATTGTCAAATGCAGGCTGAACAACCGAAATTAAATTTTAAGGACATATACCCTGACTCTTATAGAAGTAGCCACCGGAATGTACCGGTTACTGTTGCATGGGTTGCAGGTGTGGTTAGTGTATAAAATACGTATGTTATTGAAGTGGCAATTGCCTGAAGATCTTCTAGACAGCTGCAAATCCCTGATGTGGCAAAGGTGTTACTAGTTGCTGAAATGCAGAAGACTGGTGGAGGATCTGCGAACCCTGCTTCTCATTCACAATTCCATTTTGTCTGTTTTCTGGAGGAAAATGAAGTATTGGTTGGGCAATTGATTTTTTGGTTTACTTTGGTGGTTAGCTTAGTTCGTTTGCCCTTTGGCCTTTTAAGTTGGGATAATCCATTCCACGAATGGAATGGTTTGAGAATAGTGGAAGATACCACAAGGTGGCCATGATTGTAATACGAGGAACTGTTTCATTTTAATTCAGATCTGAAGTTGTCGGAGCTCATTGTTGTTACTGGTAGAAGTGAAAAACTGGTGTCATCGCAGTATGAAGGCTGTCAAAGACTGAAGCTGGCAAATGATCCTCAAGCTCCTGAAGTTGAGCTTGAAACCTTCAAGAAAGTTTGTTTATCTGTTGATCTTGCACTTTGGCAGTTGCCCTGAGTTAGGATCTGCTTGCTTTACCTAAAATGTATCAGCATTTCCTTGACTTTACCAGAAGACATTCGTACCTCCTCCTGTGCTCCGTTCCAAGTAAGGTTTTGACCAAATAACGGACTTCCTTGTGTAGAGTTTAAACCCAACTAACGGAATCATGGAATGGTGAAAACACACCACATGTCAACGCAGTGCTTTTTGTTGAAGAAGGCAAACTACAGATAGAATTTTATGTTCATGCCTAAAATCATATTTCCTGAAGAGATATCTGTACTCAAATTAGGCACGTAAAAAAAAAAAATGGAACAACATATGGTGAAACCCATAAAATTCTAAACCTTTTGCCAAAGTACACGAATCATACGGTGAAACAACAGTTATCCATTAGCAATCTTCTTTCCCTAAACCTTTTTGCTGTCTTCCTTCAACAAGCAGGCAACCCTAAACTAGTTTGACCAACTAGTTTCCACCGCAACACTGTAACATGTGCACTATACGTTCCAACCCCCGAGTCCGACTTTAACAAAATAACCCAAAACTCGCAATTGGATGAACAGGCGCCGTCGTTTGGTGACGACCACGTTTTTGTATTACCCCTTTCACTGCGTGTGCCCCCTCCGAAAAGCGCAAGAGCCGCCTCCTGCCCTGGACCTCCGTTTCCTCTCTGACTAACGTTGCTTATAATCCCATCCCTTCCCTAATCCGGAAGCGTGGAAATCTAGACACCTTCCTTCGGCTTGTACATCTTGAAATCCGGGTAATTTCTTCATGTTTTCAATTCTTTCTTGCATATCTGTATCATTCATGCAATTTGTTCTTCGGGTTTTTTTGGGTTGATTTCTTGTGGATTTTGTACATGGTTTACTTGATAGGATTTGTGGGTTCCGCTTATTTTTTGAAGTCGAGAACGTAAATTCTGTTAATTATCTGAACCATTGCCCAGCTACTTGTTTACAAATTTGCATCTTTCTTCTAGTTTTGCTTTTGCCCCTTTCCCTTCCTTCACCCCTAAAACAGTAGGCTTTGGTGTGTACTTGAAGACAATTCTTGGCAAGATGGATGCTTTGCAACCAAAGCAGCTAACTTTTGGGACTAGTGGAAGAAAGATATTGTAAAATTGTTACAGCTCAATTGGGAATTTACCTTTAGAAGCGAGGTAAGGAAAATTGAAGCAAAATTTGAAGGAGACTTCAAAATAGTCGGAGGACTAAATTGGCTAAAAAAATTATAAAGGACGAAATTGGTTTTAGTGTAAAAGTTTAGAGACGAAAATGGCGAAATTCCCGCGAGATAAATAAGGATGTTTACTGTGTTTACTAGGGAACTAAATTTTGATTTAGTTAGCTTGCTTGCTTCCTGATAATGAATGGAAATTATTATTCACTGTAAGGCTTAGAAGGCGTCATCAGTAAGGTTACTACCCTGTCTGCCTTTTGGGGAGAACCTGTTACATGCCTAATAGAATGTGCATGTAGCACATATTGAGCGTCTTCAAACTTGAAGCTACAAACACGAAAGTGCTCATCTTTATAGCTAACTCTCAAACTGATTTCTGGTTCTTAATGCTATTGGCTGCTCCTAATAGATTGCTGGAAGTGGGATATGATGGTGTCCAGTGCACTGTACTTTCAGTCCTCCAATCTTAGATTTTACAAGTTCTTCAGCAACCACTTGCCTGATGCTTTATTGGGCTCTCACCATATTAGGTTGAAAGGACAGTTTTTCATTAAGTAGAATGGTTGCTTTTGGTGATTAGTCAAGGAGAACTTACTGTAATTTGGATGCAGTTATTATTTTGGAATTTGGTTAGTGGATAGGGTGGCCATATTGCGATCTTTGTTGCTTTCATCATGAAATAATAACATGACATCTCACAAAAATGCTTCCATTTCCCATTAGAAAATTTTCTTTCTTGACCTCCTGTCACATGACGTTTACTAAAAACTTATTTTGTGATTCAATTTGATTTACTTTGCAGTGAATTTCTATTCTAGTAGCATTAAGTCAAACATGATCATCAGTGGGAAGTTGATCCAGCGAACCTACTACGAAGTCCTTGGTTTGAAAGAAGATGCAACCTATGAACAGATCCGGTCAAGCTATCGCTCTTCCATCCTTAGTTCTCATCCTGATAAACTGCTAAAGGAATGTGAAAAACTGAATCCTGAGCACAAGTCTGGTGACAGATTCATGGAGTTACAGCGAGCTTGGGAAACCCTCAGCAACCCAAGGTCTCGTGCCATTTATGACAGTGAACTGCATACTTTGAGGCAGGATGCAGTGACTTCTGAAGATGTTAGCTTGGAGGATCTTACAGTTGAAGAAGCTGATGATAGTTTAGAGCTTTCTTATAGTTGCAGGTGTGGTGATTACTTTGTAATTGATTCTTCAGAGTTGACAGAGATTGGCTATCCATTGTCAAGAAACGGGAATACAATCACTTTACACACAACAAAATCTTCGCAAGCATCTATTATTCTTCCCTGTGGATCTTGCTCTCTTAAAATCCGTTTGTTGATCAATTCAGATGTTAAGCTTCACATTGATGGTCATTCATGAGTAGTGAATTTCGTTATGTTATTCCTTTCACTAAGGAATGCAGTTTTGCCTTCTGATTGAATGTAGGTCACTTTGAAAGGTTTCTTTGCAATTCTATTGGAGTTTTTCTCCATTTGCTTGCTACTTTGACATGAATCAAGCTTTCTTACAAGCGTCTGAGATCGAATAAGGTGGTCGAACGAGATTTCCCTCTCGGGGATCTTTTAATATACTATTTCAAACCATTTTGCCACTGGGAGTTAGCCAACATGTCAGACAGACAATCCATGGCTATCCTAAACTTTGTTGACTGATACTGCCTTTCTGTTACGTAATTCTATGTGCTTCATCGTTGCTCGGTGAACGTCAAAGTGGCTGAAAAAAATATAATGAAGCCCACTAAGGACTAAAGGTTTTCCGAACCAATGATTTGCGTATGAGTTGTGAATAAGAAAAGGGATTTTGACAGAAGAGGCTTGGCATTTGGCAAGAGGTGTCTCTCAAATACATACAGGACAACGTCATTTGTTTACATCGTAAGATGCAAGAATTTCCCAGAACGGATATGATGGACGATACTCAACTAAAATTCCCCATGCAAACTTGGAACTACTATGAAAAGAAATGTGGTCCTAGTCTCGTAACCACAAGGGCAATTTTGCTGCAATAGTTGACTCAGTCTTCATCAACATTCAACTAACTGTTCAAACGTCGTCGCAAGTCTGTGGAGCACAAAAACGAACTTCAGCCAAGCCGACTCTGTCACCACTTACCACAGCTCCGGCCGACTGCAAGCTGCCGGTGGCATCAGCTTTGCACAAGGTACGCTAATACAGTATAGTCATACCCAAGCTATGGAAAAATATTTCCAAGTTTGTTACTTTTCTCAAGAAACTTCCTACTGTTATAAAATTTGTGCGCAATAGTAGAGATAAAAATTAATTTAGAACAGTAATTGGAGTTATTCAGAGGGACAAATCGTCTATTTATTTGGTCTTTTAAATGGGTTGCTCCCCAAAGAAAAGAAAAGAAAAGAAAGTAATGCAATTGCAAGTGATGCAATTCTTTATTTTTATGCTGCCAATTGGTTTCGGGACAGCGGTGGGTAATTCAGTGGGGAAAGTAAAGAGATGGGTCCTGGAGAAGAAGAGCCTCACTGGTCTGTGTTTGATGGGGTGAAGACAATTCCAGCATCAGCTGATGCACTAATTGCTGAGATCGATTCTGCCATTTCTGCACTGGAGTATGCCCGAGCTGCTGCTTTCTTATCTTCTATTGTTGGTAAAAGTGACGACGGAAAATTAAGTTCTAAATACGATGCTAAAAAGGCAGATGAAGCTTATAGAGCAGGGATGGCAGCCATGGCTGCTAGCCATTCAGTTCCTAAATATTGCTCTTGCTAAGTGCCCGCCTGATAAGACTTCTGCTGTTGCTAAGCTTCAGTCTCTTATTTCTGTCACATCTCAACAGCTTCGAAACTCCTCCAACTGATTCTTCTATGTGTAAGATACTTGATTTTGGTATCATTTTGTTCCTTTCCTCTTTCGCCCATAATCTTCGTTATCGTGTGGCTTTTTCTTTTGATGAGTATTTCATGTCACGGCTTCTAATTAGAGTATCCCTCTTTTTTTAAGTTACCGTGATGAATTTGGATCGTATAACTAATTTGTCTACTGGCCCGCTGTAGCAATATATAGTCTAAACTTTCTAGGATCAGATCAGCACCAATCAAAGGTAGAAATATAACCTTATAGAGAGTTTTTGGGGGTTCAGCATCGAGTATCGATGTTGATAGGAGAAGCTTTTTGGTATGGGAGGTTCCTAAGTCCTAAACTCGACTTCAAGACTTTTGAGGAGAAGATAAATAGTTTCAAGGAAGAACAAAGATATAAAAATGAAGGCGCATGTGATTTTTCTCTTTCATCTAAGCCAGACAACTACTTTTAGTATTCTCTTTCATCTAAAAGACTACATCTTGTAATCTTGTATTCCGTTGATGCTCTTGGCGGCCTTTTTTTCAATTAAAAATAAAAACTTTATCTATTACCTAACAAGAAATGAATAGGAAATCTCATACATGTCTGCTCTTGAGCAGGGTTAGATGTGAAAGGGAAAGCTTTAGGTCTCATGACAGAGTCAATACCCCAAAAGTAAAGTCGCTGGTTACGAAATCCAAGTATACATCATACTATCACTCCTTTTGCTGAATTTTCAAAAACTGATCGTGATGAGCCACACAAATGACAAGCGTTAATCTTCTTAATCCAAGGAAGAGACTTTGTCCCCGTGACAGAGGAGTGTCAGCTCATGCATAATATTCTGCATACAATATATCTTTCTCCTCTCTCTCGTGAACTAATTTTTCTCATGTCTGTGCTCAGAAAATAGCTCTGGGTGCTGATGAAAGAGACAAATATCTGAAGGTTTTGAACATCTCAAAACACTGGTGGTAGCATCATCAGCTGTGACATGGGTGTTGAGCTTCCAATGCCTTGGTCAATGAATATATGCATCTTCAAGCTCTGGCCCACTTTTGTTGTTGGCGCTGCTGAATATTATGTTTCTGTTCATTATAGCTCGCTTTGAGATGATTTCTTGAAGGCATATGTGAGATAGAAGATCATACTTCAATAGTTGCATGGCAGAGGGAAACTAGTTTTGGTAGGATCTGAAAATTGTAAAATGTCGTTCTTGAAACTAGTTGCTGCTACACCACTTCTGCTGTAAGTTGATGTTCTATCTGGTCTTTAAAGTTGTGTACAAAAACTTGAGTTGGATGATGTACAAGTATGAATGTAACGCTCGATGCCCATGGATAAGACACGATTGTTTATCTGGTGGTTTTAGTTCTCTGTTTGAGATTCAATTTTCTAATGACTGGCTACTAATAGCCTGCACGTCTCAGCCTGTTGATAGTATTCCCACTTACAAGGGAGAAATGAATAATTCTCTGAATATTCTCACAAATTGAATGTCTGGAGATAACGTATTTTGCCAGGTTCATATGGGAGCTAAAACTTCGCACAGATCTAAAAAAACGTTAAGACAGTTTACCATCTGTATATCATCAGCTCAGACTTGGGATTCCTGTGCTTCCATGTTGAGTTCATTATTTGTAAAGGGTTTCTGTACATTGATCTTTAGTATTGATTCAAAGCTCCAGGGAGGAAACTCAGTACGTTCATTGCAGGAAAAACTAGAGTGACTAAAGAGATCAAATTGATGTGTAGTTCCAGCATTAGACTGCTGAAGTTCAGGTAGCATTTAGTAAATGCGACGCATGCTGTTATTGGGACCATTGCAGGTGATCTAAAGTTGTGCCTTGCAAAAATTCAATCAAGTACATTCCCCAAAAAGTTGTTGCAGGAACTTCAATATGTGTTTAAAAAGAAAAAGGCAAAAGGTACTCACAATTATTGCTCTCAGGACCTTTTCTCCATGCGTTGAATTCAGTAAAGTTGCTAACATCACTTTCTCAAACTTACATATGATACCAAATTGCTATATTCTTTTCGAGTAATAATACTATCATGGACAAAGCATCACTTTTAACAACAATTTTCAGTTAGTAGTCATTGTTTGGTGTCAAGTTTGTGCTTTATACTAACTAGTTTTACTTTAGGATGCCGTAAAACTGAAAATAGTCGCAAAACTAAAACTAGCTACACAAAGCTTGCAGGATCCAAAGGTCCGCAGACTTTTGTTTTGGGTCAGAAGGAATTCAGGAATCCACGTATAATTATGGGTTTCAGAATTTAATTAGTTGAACTTTCTTCTCTGCTTCTAACTTTATCTTTACACCAAAGATAAAAAAGTTTAGAAAGAGATAGAGATGGGTTGGAAGGCCACTGTCACCCGAGCATTTCAATGCGAACATCAAATCAGACGTGCAAATACGAGCGCTTATTTAGTTCTGTATCCTGTTTTTCACCTGCAACTTCCATCCAACTCAATAAATCATCGTCACTTGCGATATGAGTATTCCTCGTCAAGAAGAACCACCATATACAACCAAGAGATGCAAATGTCTTTCTGCCACCCTCAAGGATGCATTTTCCAACTGCCGCACCCACCACGAAGAGTCATCAGATCCCTCAAAAAGATGCAAATTTCGCACTTCAACACTGAAGGATGCATTTTCTGACTGCCATACTTTTCGTGGAAGGCTTTCTTCCTCGACCCCAGAGGATGATCATCTTCCTTACGGTGACTATGATGATGAAGAAGTACTGTACTAATTGATGTCAAATGTTTTTGTATTTTCTGTTTCATTAAGAATGAAGCACTCAGATTCAGTGCTGAGTGGGGGGAGTTCGATTCAGCGATTAAAAAAAAGAACCACCTCCTTTTACTCTTCTTTTTCACCTAAAAGAGAAAACTAAAAACACGTTTATGGGTTTGTTGCTTGCAGATATTTGTCTCAGCCATCATAAGTACGTACATGGAGTCCAAAATCAGCCGCAATTCCGGGCTTACAGTGGATAATTTCAGCTGGGCTTTATCTCCAGAAACCAGAGAACTCTTTGTTACTCCTAAGCCAATGCATCAAAAGGGCAATGATGACGAACCAATGGATGACTACTTCTCGCCCCATAGTCGTCTCTCGCGCTGTTCAACTGTTTCAAGCATGGGGGCATTTGCATCTGCTAAAACTGCATTTACCCGCAGCTCCAGCCTGGGCAGGATTGATTTCCAGGATTTCTGGAGACGCCACTCAATTATTCAGGAGCTGAGTCATTGTCAGGGGTGGCCATTCGGCCTCTGCAGAAAGGCCTTGCTGCTGCCTCCTCTACCTAAATCCCCTTCAGATTCTTGGTTATGGCGTAAATCTACTAGAGTCGTCAAAATACTGTAACAAATTTAACTTTGTTTCAAGACCCATCCTGTATTTCCTGTCTTGTGCTGATATTTTTCTCAGAAGTAATTCACATTTGAAGGAGAAGAAAAGTTTCCGAGTTCGAACTTCACGACACCAAATTATAAAAAAAAAAAAAAAAAAAGAAGGTCTAGTTGTCCTTTATGGGAAACGGATTTCGTTTTGACTTTTGAGATCCAATTTTAACTTTCCAAGCACCTCAGCAGCTTTTAATATTAAGAAAAAGGAACCAGCCATCTCTACTGCAACGTCAGTTTCGTAACATGAACTTCAACTGCAATTGCCCACCATTAAAATCCTGCAAAATCAAAAGAGGGGAAAACTGACAATCCACATAATCAACAGCATGAAACCAAAAGACCGACAGGTGGAGGCTATTGTAATTATACTAGCAACATAACTACAGCAGGATTATGAATATGTAATTGTCCACATAATACAAAAAATTTCAATAATGAGCAACAAAGACTGTAAACAGAAGCATTAAGCTTCAGTATTTGCGCCAAAAAAAAAAGGCTTCAGAATTTGCCAATGACAGTTACTTGGCGAGAATTCATTTGAATAATCGCGGTAGAGTACCACTTTTATTTCACCTACCAAGTCCGGAAGAAGTTTTGGAGCCAGATCATTGCTATTGGGTCGAGAACATGTCCGAGATTGCAGAATTGCTTGTGGGTGACAAAGAAAATAAACCGTAGAGGGGAAAAATAGGTCTTAGAAAGAAACACATTTACATGAATTTCAGTCAAACATACATAAGAAATTAAATATTAGAATTTTGCATCACATAAACTAAAGTGCAGCAAGAGAAAATTGCAAACAGTTTAGCTGAAAGAGCAAACATTAGAATCTGAAATGATGGATAGAGACATTGATTAGGCGCGGATGCACCAGTTTTCTCTACACGCATTGCTAGACATTATTAATAACTTCCAAAATTTGTAGTCAAACTTGCTAACAGAAGTCGAAACATATATAAAGCCAACAGCATCAGGACATAAAAACAACAATAGGCCCTCCATATTGTTCTTCAATGGAAGAAAACATCAAAAGACCAGGCTCCATAATCCTTATTTCAAACTCAAGATCTTTGTTCAACATAAGAACCAGCAAGTCCAGAAGTCCCAAGAACTGTGACCTGCAGTCGAGAATGCAAGCAGCCAAGTCAATGTTTCATCCACATCAGGCTTAAGTATCACTGTTTATTTATAAAGCAAGAGAGATAATTAATTTCAAGTCACGTCCATTTACTGCCACTACCAAACAATGCAGTTGAGAAAATCATTTCTAATACTAATTTCTGGAGCAAATAAGTTTCATAGAAGAATGTCGACAAAACATATTCAGTTATAACACGAGCACGAACTCTTCAAAGTGAGATAGAATCATAAATCCTTTGAATGCAAGACATACATCATGAAAGTTGAAACAAATCAGACAGATTATACACAAGGCAGACCTAATTTCCAGCAGATTGGTTACTATAATGAATAGTTTTATGTTAAATTCATAAAAAATGAAGAAGGACATGTACAAAACCAGCCTCGACCCAATGAATATGATTTCTGCTAAGACAGGAAGAATGCCTCATGAAATCACTGGATGGAAAACCGTACCTTTCCCCACTCTGAATGAAGGCCACTGCACCTCATCTTTAGGTGTATCATTTTTGTACCTAACTCAGTCTCAACTTTCTTTTTTAGATAGCCCTCTTCTGGACCAAATGCGCCCAAATATGCAACATAGCGCTGGTGGACAGTTTCTAGTGCATCAGCCATTTCTTTTGGCAATGGCTTCACATCCTGCATAAAGAACAAAATTTTAGCATGTGGCAGTGGACTGAAAGTCAAAAACAAGTCAGTCCAAAACTTCATAGAACTCATCTCACCTCACCACTTAGCCCAATGCTATCATCAATTGCCATCTTCAATGAAGTAAGAATCCCAGTGAACTCCTCAACCGCCTCTGCTGCACGAAACACGTTGGCCAATGCCTCCTGACTAGATTTGTCATCAGTTCTTTTAGACAGTGCTTTCTTCACATCATGGACAACTGCTGGAGGAAGCTCATCCCAGTTTGCAGCCATTAAGTCCTTAAATGCACATTCGATCTCTGAGTCTTTTATGTCAGGTGTATGAGCCACATCTTCAGAAAAATAACGAGCATTCCCAATTCTCATGGTAAAAGGATTCTGAAAATCTATAATTCAGTGATGTCAAAATGAAGAAAATTAGATTCTAAGCGCAATCAAGAATGATAAACTTATACAATAGAAACTGATCAGAGGACAAGGCAAGGAAAAAACCTAAACAGAGTTATGAAAAAAAAAAACAAAACTTAACCAGACTTAGTTTACATAGAAAAATACTTTTACCATGTGCATCAGTTCTTGTACCTTCCAGAATGTGGCGCAGGGGCATCCGCATTCATCATAGGGGAATGTAATGCAGGATGCACATCTTAAAAAAAAAATTCGTACACTCTTACACAAGATCTCTTCAGCTTCATTCCAAAACGTGGCCAACAAGGATGTCTACACATATTGGTGCAAAATGTATAACTTCTAACCTTAAACATTTATATTTAATCCAACTCAATTGTGATCGTAAATTATGCTCTGGAGGCCCCTAATCCCTCAAACAGTGCATGTATTTAAAGCATTGGTCCACTAGTAGCCCTAGGTAGCCTATCCAAGTTTCTTCCCTTAAGCAAATCGAATATAGCTGAATGTATCTAGTTGGTTCCCGTGGAAAGCTACCAAAGAGGGGGGAAAATAATTTTTATGCGATAACTGAATTCATAGTCAACAGATATGTGATAGTAACAATCAAATTGAGCAAATTCTTATGATGCATCTGAGCTAAATAGGTTAACACTCCATCAATATACTAATTACTCAGAAATTAAGAGTCAGCATAAATATGTTTATCTTTTGGGCCATTATTAGTACACTCAAAGGTAAATATAGAAGCAAATTCAAGAATAAATTCCTGAAAATTAAATCCTCCAAGACCTCAAATAGATATACAGGTATATGTTGAAAGAAAAAAGACTAAGTGATAGAGAAAGCCATTGAAAAGTACCAGAAGCGAGTGGTTTGGAAGAAGACGTCGGAATGGAAGGGCGATTAAGATGGAGGTGGCGGACGTGGTTCACGGCGGCGACGACGGCAGCGGCGCTACCGCTGGAGGAAGAGGAGATACCCAGAGATCCGCGGCAAAAGGCCCGATATAATGATCTCAGCACCATCGTCTTCTCCATTTTCCTTTCTCTCTCTTTTTTCCCTCAGCTGTAAACTGTTTAGAGTAATGCAGCAGGAGATTGAATCGAGCTTCTGCAGCCCTTTTTTTTAAAAAAAAATAATAATTGATTAGTTAATTAATTAATTAATTAAATTTTTTAAATTGATGATTTATACTGGACCGGAGAAGCATTTGGCTTTTTAATTATAATTTCAATAATTTTTTAACATTTAGTCCTTGCAGCATCATTCAAAAATCTTTTTTGTTTAAAATCAGAAAAATCATAGCAAATATTATGTTAAAAGAAATGACTAGTTTATTTTGTTAAATTTTATGATCATTAGTGTAGTTTTGTTGCTTATTTATGTTGTCTAATTTATTGAATGTGAACTTTTTTTATTGGTAAAATGTGTATATTAATTATTTTTGACTTTTAATTATTTTACTACTACAACTTATAGACCTGTACAATAAGTATTTATGGAATAAAAGTTTCATCTCTTTCTTTAAAATAATTTTTTAATGTTACTTTTTCTTGAACTAATTTTGTTATAAAAACTTTAATTTCAGGGGAGGTTTATATAATTTTATAAACTTTAGAGAAGGCTAGTGAAATTATTAAAAACTTTAGGGGAGGTTTTTAAATTATCCCATGATATTATGGTGGAGTCATTACAATGGGATATATTTTAAGGAACTTTAAAAAGCTAACCAAACAGTCCACAAAATCAGGAAACTAAAGAACAAAATTTTTTCATGGAACCAAATAGACCCTTCTTCCAATTTTTCTCCTTTCCCTTCATCTCAGATTATCGAATAGATACAGAGCAGGTTGAAGTAGACTTTTGAGTTCCTTCCATTACTACGAGTCTACAAAAATGGCTACGTCCAAAGACTTTTAGGAACTGATCCTCAAACAGGCGTTGCATCCAAAGACGTACTTAACATCACACCTCGAACTGTAGTTTATGTTCAAATCTACCTCCCAAACCTCAGCGGCATCAACCATCATAGTACTAGTAATAATTGTTAAAGACAAGAGATGAAGCTTTGAGAAACATTCTTGCCTTTCTGTTCATTCGATGATGCATATATATACAGGATTTGGCTAAAACTTTAGCTGCAAGAAAATCCTTCTATGATTGAAGAACATACCTAGAATTATACCAGAATCCAATCACCTAGAGATATACCAGAATTTCAACCAACTAATTACTTATCTAACTAATATATATTTAATATTATCTATACAACTAATATACAGCTACTACCCCCCCTCAAGTTGGAGTTTGAAGATTCGAAATGCCCAACTTGGCGAGTAATTGAACAAACTTACGCTTGCCCAGTGCTGTGGTAAGAATATCAGCCAATTGATGAGTAGTTGGAACATAGGCTGGACAAATGGTACCATGACAAATCTCATCTCGAACGAAATGACAGTCAATCTCAATATGCTTAATGTGTTCATGAAAAACGGGATTCTGAGCGATGTGTAATGCAGACTGACTATCACTGTAGATACGCATAGGAGTAGGATGGTGAACACCAAGAGTAAAGAGCAACCCGCGTAACCATTTCAACTCACATGTGGTGACGGCTAAAGCGCTGTACTCGGCTTCTGCAGATGAACGAGATACCGTTGGTTGGTTCTTAGTTTTTCACGAAATCGGAGAATCACCAAGAAACACAAAGTATGCGGTCAAAGATCTACGTGCCATAGGACAACATGCCCAATTAGCATCACAATAGGCCATTAGGCATAAGTCAGAGAAGGATTTGAGCAATATACCCTGACTCGGATTGGACTTCAGATAGCGAACCACTTGTAGAGCTGCTTCCCAATGCGCCTCCTTCGGCCGCTGCATGAATTGAGCTAAGATATCAACACAATAGGATAATTCGAGACGTGTGATCGTCAAATATATACGGCGGCCAACTAGCCTGCGATACTGTGCGGGAGATTTCATATCGACACCCTCATTAAATCCCAGACGATGATTTTGCTCTATAGGAATGCCAGCTGGCTTGGATCCCAAGGGACCTATCCCAAAAATAGTATCCAACGCATATTTGCATTGACTGAGAACAATGCCAGTAGAATTTTGAGCAATTTCAAGACCTAAAAAATATTTGAGCGATCAAGATCTTTTATATGGAAACAGTGGCTTTAAGTAGCGTTTGAAACGTTGTATAGCCGCCGAATCATTACCTCCAATCATCAGGTCATCGACATAAATCAGAATTGATAAGTGCACAGTATCTTGCTAGTAAGTAAACAAAAAGTAGTCAGAGGAAGACTGAACAAAATCGTAGTGAGTAAGGGCCGCTGCTAACTTACCAAACCAACACGTGGGGCTTGTCACAAACCATAGAGAGACTTGCGCAGATGACACACTTTGTTGGGTCCTAACACCGCAAATCTTGGAGGGAAGCGCATATATACTTCTGCGTCAAGCTCACCATGAAGGAAAGCATTATGTACATCCATTTGATATAATTCCCAACGCTTTGCCACTGCTACTACGAGGAATGTGCGAACTGTCACCATCTTGGCCGTCGGTGTGAAGGTTTCTATGTAGTCAATTCCTTCGACTTGATGATTACCAAAAACCACCAAGCGGGCTTTATAACGTTCAATGGACCCGTCTGCATGATACTTAATGCAGTAGACCCATTTGCTGCCTAACGCTTTCTTCCCCTTAGGCAACTCTTCAATAGTCCACGTACCATTGGCTTCCAACGCCTTTATCTCTTCCTTCATTGCATCGTGCCAACATTAAGAATGAACGGTTTCTGAATAACTTGAAGGCTCACGTCTTGCAGTTATAGTCGCCAAGAAACGGCGATGCGGCAAGTAGAATTGATTACAGGTTACATAGTGAGAAATAGGAAATAGTGTACCTGTGTGTGTGACGGGCTGAGGCGACGGGCTAAAGCGAGCTGTATGTGTGACATAATCTTGAAGCCGAACAGAAGAATATCGTTGCCGTTGTCCGCGACCAAGCACAACCTTTGGCTCAGTAGTATCACCTCGGTTCCCATTGTCGTACCCACCGGTGTCCTCAAGCACTTTTTCAGAGTGCGAGGTAGATGAGCTCCTGTGTCCTTCGCGATTGGTAGAAGGTAAGAGCCAGTGTGCTTCCTCTTCAAAATTACCAGAAGCATATGGAGCTGAAATTGCATTGGAGATGTCTCGATCCACAGTCTCCGTAGAGAAAGGAAACTCAAACTCAATGAATACCATATCGTGTGACTCAAACAGGACACCAGTATCTAAATCATATAACCTCCACCCCTTCTTTGCATAAGGGTATCCAACGAATACACATTTACAACTTCGACTGGTGAATTTATCTCTGTCGCGATTAAGACTGTGTGCATAGCGGAGACAACCGAAGACCCGTAAATTATTAAGAGATGGTGCTTTGCCAAACAATACTTCAAAAGGTGTTTTTCCATCCAGAAGTGGTATGGGAGTTCGATTCATCAAATAGCCTGCAGTCAAAATGCATTCACCCCAAAATGTGACAGGCAAACAAGATTGAAAACGAAACGCTCTTCCTACATTAAGGATATGTCTATGTTTACGTTCAATGCGCCCATTTTGCTGAGGAGTGTCCACCATAGACATTTGATGAATGATTTCAAGATTTTTCAAGTAATTGGCTAAACATGTAAATTCTTTACCATTGTCACTACAAACAATTTTGACCTTTCTATTAAATTGGCGTTCAGTGAAAGCCAAAATTTTTTTTAAGGATCTTAGGCACCTCGTGCTTTTCCTTTATCAAGAAGATCCAAACAGCACGTGAGTAATCATCCACAATAGTTAGAAAATATTTAGAACCACAAAGAGACACTTCACGATGTGGACCCCATAAATCACAATGTATTAATTCAAAAATTTCAGCAGCCTTATTTTCACAAAAAACAAAAGGAGTTCGAGTATGTTTTTCCCACAAACAGGCATCATAATGACCTAAATTTGACCCAAACTTAATACCACCGATCATAAGAGAAAGGGATTCCACAACTTGCTTTGAGGGGTGTCCTAGTCTTTGGTACCAAAGCTCCACACTAATAGTGTTGTTCACCTTATTTGCTCGAGCAGAAAATACTTCCCTCACAACATACAGCCCTTCTCACTCTTCACCCGCTTCAATCAGCATCCTCGAAGTGTGATCCTGTACAACACATAGACAATCAGTAAACTTTAATATAAGAGTCTTGTCTCGAGCCAACTTTGACACTGAGATCAAATTGCAGTCTAAGTCAGGTACAAATAAGACATTCTTAAGACACAAAGATCCCAAAATAATAGTTCCTTCCTTTGTAGCCATAACATGTTCACTATTGGGCAACTTCACAGGACAAGGAGGAATATTCCATACTTCGCTAAAAGACTCAACGACTCCAGTCATATGATGCGAAGCGCTGGTATCAAAAAGCCATTATAAATTCGCTTTACGAGACAAACGATGGCTCGACGTTGATTTGTGTGTGCTCAAGAGTGACTTCAATGTCAACCAATCTTCTATATTAAGATTTTCTAGGCCCACCTTGTTTGCATCTCCAAGAACATGCATCGATGATGCGGTAGTGTCTGCGGTCTGCACAGCAGTTGCATTTGCCGCTCCACCCCTATCGCGACCTGGTCGTCCACCTTTTTCTCTACCACGGCCAGTAGTATCTGCTCCTTACCCAGTAGGAAATCCATGTAACCGATAGCAAATGTCAATGGTGTGTCCTGATCTTTGACAATATGAACATAGAGGTCTGTCCTCTCGTCGAGTTCCTCCTGAATTACGCGATCTGTTTGCCACTGGTGCCTTGACTGCAAAACTGACCGGATCCGTTCTCTCAGGAGTGGGATTTTGCATCATAGAGCAAACCTGCCCTGTTCCGTCACCTTCGAGTAGACTCGGTACATGTTAGGTAGGGGATCAGTTGCTATTATGGTGGACCGAATGGTGCTGTAAGGAGTTTCATTGAGTCCCAGGAGAAACTGATGAACTCACTCCTTTTCACTGCGCCGTTCCAACCGTGCATTGAGATTGCACGTACAACCACGACAAGTGCATACCGGTATTG